CTGAAGAAGGTGGGGTCTTCCTGGTCCAGGGCGAGATCATGGACCTTATTCAGGTTTGGGGGGATGCCCCCAGCGTCCATGATCTCCACACTAAATGGGGGAACACAGCCATCTATGGCAGGATAGCTGGCAGCCTAGCCTCCAAAGGCCACATGTGAACCCAAGAGCAGGTTTGCATGAAAATCAAGTTGGTCTGGCGAGACCCCCCAATCCTGAACCCTGAGCTTCTTCTCCCCCTTCTTACCCTTGCTTCCCCCTTCCAGCACCCTCCTCTCAGGTTTCCCTTTCCCACCCTCTCCTGCCTTCTTTCCCCAGTCTCACCAGAGTTTCATCCCCCCCCCCAGTTTTGTTAAATAAAGAGAGTTTGTGTTTATGAAAATACATGTATTTTATTTGACATCAGGAAGGGAGGTTAGGGAGGGGTAAGTGGAAGGACGTGAGGGAGGAATGAGGTACAAGCCCCCAGTGGGGCACACCAGGGAGGCTCTTAATTCCTCAGGGTATGTCTACCTCAAGGAGGAAGCTCTCCCTCAGGGCCTCCTGGATACTGACAGCCCCCCAATGTACCTCCCGGATGGCAGCCTGCAGAAAGTACAGCCAGGCTCGCAGCAACATGTCCATAAGAATCACCAGAGTGCCCAGGGGCAGCTCTGGCTCCATGTTTCAGAGTGCTGTGGTGTTCCTTGTGTGCTCTTTTAGTACCTTAGTCATTAGGTCACAGGATTATTATTTGGCAGGCTTCCTGTTTCTGTTTTTGTGTCTTTAGTTAGTTCCTCTTCAGATTTCTTCTTGGCTCACCTTCTACTTTGATACTTGATTTCCCTGAGTTTATGCCTGTTTTTATTTTCTTCATTAGGATTTGACATCCAATTTTTGAAATATGCCTTTTGGCCTTTAATTGACTCTTTTACTCTGCTGTTTAGCCATGGTGGCATATTTTTGGTCCTCTTCCTGTGGTTTTTAAAAAAAATGTATTTGGGGTATGTGTTCAGTTTGAGCCTCTTTTATGATGTTTAAGTTTCCAGTGAATACAACAGGCATTTCACCCTTATGATTTTGCCTTTTAACAGCTAGTTAACTTGATTTCTCATTTTTGCATAGCTTCTCTTTTTGAAGATAAACGCTACCATGGGTGGGTGTCTAGCATCCCCCCCTACAAGAATGTTAAAGCATCCTTTAAATCATCTTCTGTACCTAATGACCAGTATTTTAAAAGGGCTGTAGAGGTGATCCTGGCAACTACAGATTGGTAGGTCTAACATCAGTACTGGGCAAATTAGTTGAAACTGTAGTACAGAATAGAATTGTCAGACATAGATAAATATCATTTGTTGGGGAAAAGTCAACATGGTTTCTGTAAAGGGAAATCATGCCTTACTAATGCTCTCTTCAGGATCAAAAAGCAGGGAGATCCAGTGGATGTAGTGTACTTAGATTTCCAGAAAGCCTTTGGCAAAGTCCCTCACCAAAGGCTCCTAAGTCAAGTAAGTTGTCATGGGATAAGAGGGAAGGTCTTCTCATGGATTGATAACTGGCTAAAACAAAGGGTAGGAATAAATGGTAACTTCTCAGAATGGAGAGAGGTAACTAGTGGTGTCCCCCAAGGATCTGTACCAGTCTTCTCTCTAAGCTGTGCAGTAGCTCAGCTTTACAGGTGATCAGCCCCATCCAGTTAGTCAGCTCTGCACACAGAGCTCTGAGCCTCTGACGAGGCAGGGCTGATTAATACCTATGAAGCTGTGCTACTTCAGCTTAGAGGGAACACTGGTCTGTACTGGGGCCAATCCTATTCAACATGTATATTAATAATCTGGAGAAAAAGGGTTAAACAGTGAGGTGGCAAAATTTGCAGATGATACTAAACTGCCCAACATAGTTAAGACCAAAGCAGACTGAGAAGAGCTTCAAAAGAATCTCACAAAACTAGGTGATTTGGGCAACAAAATGGCAAATGAATGTTAATGTTCATAAATGCAAAGTAGTGCACATTGGAAAAAATAATTCTAACTATCCATACAAAACGATGGCGACTAATTTAGCTACAACCACTCAGGAAAGAGATCTTGGAGTTACTGTGGATAGTTCTCTGAAAACATCCACTGGATGTGCAGTCAAAAAAGCAAATAAAATGTTTGGAATCATTAAAAAGGGATAGAGAATAAAACAGAATATTTTATGGTTTCTGTATAAATCCATGGTACGCCCACATCTTGATTACTACATGCAGATGTGTTTGCCTCATCTCAAAAAAGATATACTGGCATTGGAAAAGTTTCAGGAAAGGGCAACAAAAATGATTAGGGGTTTGGAGCCAGTCCCATACGAAGAGAGATTTAAGAGACTGGGATTTTCCGCTTAGAAAAGAGCAAACTAAGGGTGGGGGGATATAATAGAGGTCTATAAAATCATGAGAGGTATGGAGACAGTGAATAAAAAAAGTTATTTACTTGTTCCCATGACATAAGAACTAGGGATCACCAATTGAAATTAATAGGTAGCAGGTTTAAAACAAAGGAAAATTTTTCTTCACACAGTGTACGGACAACCTATGGAACTCTTTGCCAGAGGATGTTATGAAGACCAGGACATTAACAAGGTTCAAAAAAGAACTAGTTAAATTCATGGAGGTTAGGTCCATCAATGGCTATGAGCAAGGATGGGTAGGAATGGTGTTCCTAGCCTCTATCAGAGGCTGGAAATAGATGACAGGAGAGGGATCACATGATGGTTACCTGTTCTATTCACTCCTCCTGGGGCATCTGGCATTAGCCATTGTTGGAAGACAGGATACTGGGCTAGATGGACCTTTGATCTGACCAAGTATGTCTGTTCTTATTCACCTCTTGGACCAGATCTTGTGCTCCATTTCAGACCAAATAAATAATTGCTTTCCCTTGTGGGGTCCAAGATGAGCTCCTTCAACTAGCAGTCATTTTTGTCTAGAAATTTTGAGGTGATTGTCCCTTTCTTATACATACATATATATATTATATGAAAGACAGACAGTGTCTGTAAGGATAGTCAGAATCCCGTCAATATAAGGGTAGTCATAATCATCCCAGTATAACTTCTTTTTCTGTCTTTATAGCATCTCTCGTTCCCCTGAGCATTTCAAAATCTCTGTCATCATCCTGGTCAAATGGTATATTCCTACTTTTACACTCTTTTTATTCAAACATGGAATTTCTATCCTACAGCTAGAGCAGTGGTTCTCAAACTTTTTGGCCCATGGCCTACTCTATTTAATGCAAACCTTTCTGCGAACCACCAGCCAACCACCCATGATGACAAAATGGGTGCAGAAGAGGGTCAGGGTGGGAAGTTGGGTGCAGGAGCAGGCAGAGGGTCAGGGATCTGGCCAGGAGGTTGGGTGCAGGAATGGGCTGAGGGTGGGCGGTCTGGCCAGCAGGTTGGGTGCAGGAGTGGTTTGGAGATTGGAGGTCTCAGTGGGAGGGGATGGGGAGTGGGATGAGGGTAGGGGTCTGGGCTCCCCCAGGCACCATCCACTGCTGCTCCCATTGTCCA